ATAACTCAATTATTATTGTATGTAATAAACACAAACAAAGAAAAAAACTAATTTAAGAAAAATGTAGTATAATATAAAATAAAAAAAATAAAGGGAAAAAGAATTTAAAAAATCATGGAAAGTTTCAACATTGTTAATTATAGAGTTTTTACTGTATCTTTGTGGATTGATAGTTATCCATAAATTTCTTTAAACTTTGACATGTAGAAGCTGTTTTTTTTAAAACAAAATTGACATGTAAAAGGTTGTATGGTTGTCAATAAAATTTGATAAATTTCAAAAATATGCCTCATTTCAAGTGTCACTTAACAAAAATGCCACACTTTAAAATTTTTACAAAAATGCCACTTTTTCAAAATTATTTTTTCTTTATATTATTTATGTTTAGGTTAACTATGTTCTATTAGAGTTTAGTTATGAGGGTTTAGGGGTCAAAACATTTTTTAGTGTTTAGAATTATAAGATATATAAAGTTTAAAAATCTATGATTAGTGACATTTTTGCAAATGAACACTCCTAAATAGTATTTTTGCAAATGTGCAAATAAAAGTAGTATTTTTGTAATTTCCCCGTAAAATTTTACAGAATACTAACTTTTGGGGGCCGGTCTATGCGACGCATTTCGCTATTCCATATTTGAAGAGAGCCAAAGGAAAGATCATAGCGGTCGCATCGCCTGCTGGCTGGTCTGGAGTCCCAAGGATGAGCATATATGCTGTAACTACTTTTTCCTTTTTCTTCTCTACACCATTAGATTAATTTCAAACTATGACACATAGTAACGGGAATGGATATAGGCAAGCAAAGCAGCTATGATAAACTTTTATGAGACTCTTAGTATTGAGCTTCGTCCAGACATCGGTGTCACGGTTGTGTTTCCGGGTCTAATTGAGAACGAAAATACCAGTCCGGACCTCATAGCTGAGGTATTTGACTACCTCCATATTTCATTTCATCATTTGTGTTTGTCAAAAATTTTAAGTCTTGGTCTCTTTGCAGAAACGCGAGTGGTCGCAAGTTGTGGCCATCGAGTCAGCATCGACATGCGCCAAGGCTATTGTTAACGGAATTTGCAGAGGAAAAACCTTTGTGGTAGAGCCTTCATGGGTCCGTGTCCTCTTCTGGCTTAGTACCTTATGCCCTCAGCTATTGATCTCTAAACCGAAAAGGAACTAAGTTTATTGTTCAACAATCGCAGAATAATGAAAAAGTATATCGTAAACAAAAACTGAAAGAAAACAAATGGGAATCGACATCCTTAATTATTTTTTTTAATCCAGTTGGTTATTTTTTTCGGGTTTCAAGAATTCCGGTTCGGTATGCTTTATTTTTTTAATTCCAGTTTGTTATTTATATTGTATGCTTTTGGTAGCTTTGTGTTAAACTGTTACCATTTCCGCTCTCAATCGTATATATCTCGCAGATTCATCTTTCCAACATTATGTCAATGGAATTTACAATTTACATGTTCTTGTTCTTTAATTGATTCCTGCAGCGTTAAGATTTTACGCAATGTTTG